GGAATTTCATCAACATCAAAAGGTAAGTGATCCCTATCAATTCTTAAGCTAAATACGCGAATCACAGGTAGATTTAACATGAAAAATTATGAAATTAATGGGATTTTGTGAAGAAATTAGGGTTTAGGTTAAAAAAAATAAAAATTGGGATTTGATCATGGTTTTGGTGGTAAAAATTGGAATAAATCATATATTTGAGTTCGGGAGGTCATGAGTAACAATTATCTTCAAATATTTCTAGAATTCGGGCACGTGGACTCGGGGGCGAATTTTAGGAATCTTCCAATTTGGGTTGGACAATTACTCTAATAGCTAAATTATGAACTTTTGAGTATATATTAATTAATTTATATAATATTTGGTTAGTTTCATATTGTTCGGCACCAACTTGAGGCTTTAGAGTGAATTTGTGGACCGAAAAGTGAGTTTTGGGACGAGGTAAGTCTCTTGCCTAACCTTGTAAGAGCGAATTCACCCCATAGGTATTTTAAATTACTATTTGCTTCTAATTGTGGGTACTACGTATGCACGGAGTGACGAGAGTCCATACGTAGCTACAAATCATGCTTATGTCCGGGTAGTTTTAGGACCCTATCATAAAATACTTGTAGTGTTTGCACTCTACTTGTTAATTTAAGTGCTTAAATTATATTGAAACTTGATAAAGGATTTGTAAAGACCAAGTTTCATTTACTTTGAGTTTTGGCGGGTTGGTTGACCGTTAGTAGAAATTGTGCCTTCTTGTATATTAGTCTTGTAATATCCATTAAATCGGAGCTCGTACAGTATTCTCTCTTCTTGTGGAGCGGGTCGAACGCCTCAACAGTATAATAGATGCATATATGGTTCGCGTTGGTCGACCCTCGGCAATGTACACATTATTCTGGATCGGGTCGTACGACCTCGTCATAAATCGTGCGTGATAATGCTCGGAGTCCGATTACACTTGATATTACCTTCATGAATTGAGAAATTATAGTTTACTTGATGGCTTGTATTGGTTGAAGTTAGTATGTGCTACTTGAAGATTTTAAATTGATTTTCGTTGAGGAATCACTTATTTACTGTTTGTTATTGTGTTATTATTATTGATGTATTCCATGCCTATTTAGAATTTCTGTACTTTATTTATTGGCCCATAATAAGTGTCAATGTCGACCCCTCGTCACTACTTCTCCGAGGTTAGACTAGATACTTACTTGGTACATGTTTATGTACTCACGCTACACTTTTGAACTAATCGTGTAGGATCATAGGCAGGTGCATCTGGCAGTCATTTAGGCGCATACCCCCGTTACCCCGAGGCATAGTGGTGAGCTGCTCTCTGCGTCCGTTTTGCAGCACCGCAGTCTCTCTTTTGTATTTATTTCTGTCTATCTTATTTTAGACAGTAGTATAGGAGATTTTGTATATTTTACTAGTTGATCATACACTTGTGACACCGGATTTTGGGAGTATTCTAGTTGACACTTTATGGTTTTGGAGTATTTAGTTCACTGTATTTACTCTCTCATTAGTTTATGCTTTACTTTACTATAATTTTTCACTAATTATTTTCTTAATAAATAAAAATCAACTATTTTGGAACTGTTAAAAAAATAATACATGACTAGTTCACTGTTAGCTTGCCTAACGGCGACGTTGGGCATCATCACGGCCTATAAGGAAAATTAGGTCATGACATATTTGACACTAAAAATTAGCATGGTGTGACTCCCAAAAGAGGATGGTCTTGGCGGAGTGTCCTCATCTTTGTTGGTCTTAGCAAAATGTCTCCACCATAGTTCTTTAATTATTAAAGCCTCAAATTCTTGCTTGATGGTGAAAAATAAAAGTTAATGATCAACTTTTTTTTAAAATCATTTGAATGTTAATAATTTGTGCTTAAACTTTTTGTTCAGACATAGATTTTGGTGATTTAACGTAAAAATCTCAAAACTCTATTATTGGACCTTAGCAAGTGTTAAAGAAGACAAAGTGAATCTTTTTGAATTGGTGTTGTTCGACTAAATTGGTGATTGAGGATTGTTTGTGTTGGTATTTGTAAGCTTTGTTTCAAATTTGAGATCATTTGAAGCAGATTTAGGGTGGTTTAATCGAAATTGAAGTTGCAAATTCGAAAAACACTTTATTAAAACAGCCCAGAAAAGATATGACAATCCGGTAGATATCGATGAATAACTTAATAGACATGTAGACAAAATATAGCCTCAATTCTATCGACCTGGTAGACAAATCTCAAAAGAGCAGAAAAATAGCATTTTGGTAGACTTCAATGAACAATTTAATAGATAGATAGAGTAATAATAGCATCAACTCTACCTAATTGGTAGAGAGGAAGAGCAAAATTATGGCAAAAAGTCACTTGTCAATCACCGAGGAGACTGTTTATTGGAGACTAGGAGTAAGGCCACTGTTGCATTGTGGTTTAGTCTAATAAGTTGTCACATATTTTGTACCATATATTATACTTGTCATACCCTTTTTATGTCTTAACCCTCTTTAAAAAGATAAAAGTTGATTAGTAAAGCTCGAAAGGGTTTCAATTTGAAAAGTGACAAAAGTTATTGTTTAATAGGGATCTTTCAGAGTTGTTACTTGACATGAATCTCAGTGTGCCAAGTCACCGTTTAAAAAATAATTTTCTCCTAAAAATATCTTTTAACTATAAAGCATAATATGCACCAGAAATCCAAGTAAGGGTTCATTTGAATCGGAGAAAAGATATTAGGCATTTCTCAAGTCCCGTGAAAGTCACGATTACGTATATGATCTAGATGGCTTTTGAGGATACTCAAATTGAGGCAAAACACACACAAAATAAAGATAAACACTAAAAAGGTTCAAAGTCAAAAATCCTAAACTAACCTATACTAAATATTTATAAACTCTCTTGGGCATTCCCCTAACAAAACCATAACAAATAAGAGGACGACCTTTAACCTCAAATAAAGTAGAAAATCCTAAAACTTGCTTACCCGAGTGTTGACGGCCTAAACATGCCACTAGCAATCAAACAATAAAGTAAAGCCAAAATAAAATTATCATGCTCATATTCATTTAGCTTTATTTTAAACCCAAATCCCACGGCCCAACACTCATTCAAATTATTTGTGTACACAAAGATAGTACTCCACACAGAAAACAAGTAGAAGAGAAGAAAATATACCAATTCGGAAGAAAAAAAACACAAGAAAGACTTAAATTAAGAATCAGCTTTTAACTTTCACAAAGTAATTACTGTACTTTGCCACATCAACTCTATGTTTTAAAAGGCGTTTATGGGGTGAGCCCCGAGGCGAGGAGTATCAAAAACGCTTTGGGGCGATGGTGTGAGGCGAAAGTCTCAAGAGGCGTACGCCCCGCAGCGTTTATGGGGTGAGCCCCGAGGGGAGGAGTATCAAAAACGCTTTGGGGCGATGGTGTGAGGCGAAAGTCTCAAGAGGCGTACGCCCCGCAATTTGGGGCGTACGCCCGGGCGTTCGGGAAGTGTTTTTTTAGTAAGGAGTAAGCCCTAGAGACTTTTTCAAATTAAAACAAAATTTGTTGAATTAGTCCTTCATATAATACCCAAATTCTCAAAAGTCGGTTTGGTAATTATTCAAAAGGTTTAAAAAGAAACTCAAAAGTATTAAATTTAAAAGTAAAGACTTTTTTTATTGATTTAAGCTCTAATTCATGATTTTTTCAATTTTTTATCTTTTCCGCTAGTCTGCTAATATCTCTCAAGAGCAACGAATCTTTAAATTTTTTTACAAATACAAAGAGAACTATAGTTTTCTTCATAGCAGCAAATTCAAAGTTTAAATTGCAGGTTAATCATCCTTTTTGTTCCTCCATATAGAAAACTTTATTCTTTTAGATTCAAATTACTTGTGCCTGTAAGTAACGTACAATAGATTGTTTGATTAGTTTTTTTGTGGGGATGAAGGACACATAAATAAAGTTTTCTTCAATTTTTATGCAATTTTACTTGTTTATAAATATTAATTATCATTATATTATTTTATAAAATATTAAAAATTAAATTTACGCCCTGCGCCTCGGGACTTACGCCCCGCTGAGGCATATGTAAAACCCCCGCCTTACGCCCACGCCTTTTAAAACATTGCATCAACTCATCCAATTCAAATTAACTTTCTCTTACATACCCAGTTATATCAAGCAAGATTACAGCCTCTAATTCCAAAACTCATACTCTTCGCATGTCAATTCACCAGAACAAAGACAATCAACACATAATCAATTCTACAATGAATTTGTCAAAACAATTGCATGGTTTCTGGAAAATGCAGCGAAGAGACATGAACAAATTCATCTCTAACAGCCAAATCTATACCATGATAGAGTAAACTAATCCAAACTTTTCACATTTTGAAGTATCAAATATGCACAAGAAAACTTTTGATGGTTTGCAACACAAGAGATCAAGCGCGATCAGCAGTCCAATACCAGTTAATTAATGCCGCACCCTTCTCCAAAACGCACCTTATTCGATTTACTAAACTCACAATCAAACTGACTATGTGGGAAAACAATTCACAAGTCCAAGTAAACTGAACTATTCTGGGTAGTCATGGAAACAACGGAGAAGTTCTAGTTCAACAAATATGAGAAGGTGCAGATTCGTTTCAAATTATAAAATTGAAGAAAACTTGATAGAACAATGAATCACACACTACATGGATCACTGGAAGACATTGTTATTAACTTTCAACACCAAGAGTAAGTGCCTAAAGTGATTTTAAGAACAATTGACATAGGCTTTTTGACAAATCAGCCTGATCATTTCACCTCATGCGTAATCTCGGGGAAACATGCAAAATACTCAAAGGGGCTGCTCACAAATGCAACAGATGTACAGCTCCGAGAATATGGAACTTAAAAATGCATTTCAACATGAGACAGGGATACGAATTGGCGCAAGCATCGAATAGAAACTAGCAAAGGCAGATAAATCAAAGCATCGATAAACCGAAGCTAAGACGATCACCAAGAAATGAAGCTATAACCTAAACACTCCAATTTCCAATTGCTCTATCCTTAAGCATAAATCGAGACTACAATCACAGTAACCAAGAGAATAGGGCAGCACCATATTTCAATCACAACATATGAAAGTAACGTCGCAAATAACAGAGAAAGGGAAAAAAGGTGAACCTGAAATAGTTTTAATTAACGAAAATTCCAGCAATTACACGGATAGAATCGAAGGACCGCTATCACCGGAACTCGAGACAGTAATCAAACTCAAACGGGATCACGAACGACACCTCGAACTCCATATTTTTGGATCCAAATCCGAAATCAGAAGCAAGAACCAGAGGTGCGTTTTTTTTCTTCTTTCTAAAATTTGAACACAAACTAATTAGCCCGAGAAATCAGATCTTTTTTGTATGCATTTTCTTCTATGGTCTCAAAGAAACAAGAAAACTCAAAGAAGAAGACTCAAAAATAGAGAAGAAAAGTTTTACTTAAACCTTGCTTTTTCCTCACTTTCTTTCTATCCGAAAATCTCTCCAATTTCTGTCTCCAAATCCTCAAATATATATGGCCTTCTCGAATCTTCTCCCTCTGCTCCAAAAAATCCGAAATTATTTTTTAAAAGAAAATCAAAAACCTCTCTCAAATCAACTAATTCGGGACAGATGAACGAAGAGGATTAAATATCCATTAATCCCACGACCTCCATCAATCCTTCATTTGTTAGAGAGAGATATAGCACGTGAGATCGAGTGAGGAGAGAATGGGGAATATTCGGTTTCAGAGTTAGTTAGGCCACGTTGAGGGAAGGGAGAGGAGTAGGGGGGACCAAAACGCGTGGCCGAAAAAGTGTATTTTCGGCGAGCTACGGCGGCCGCAGAAGCGGAGGGGCGGGTGTGTGCGGCTGGGATAATTAGGTGTGTGCGGAGGGGATTAGGGTTTAGGAGTGTTAAATTAGAATTTTATGTTATGGGAAAATTAATTATGGCCCTTAGATTAGAGAAAAACATATGGCCAAGATTGAAAGTTAAAAAACAAAACGGGGCGGGTCAAAGGGTCAGACGGGTCGAGGGGCTGGTGGATCAAAAAGTATTGTTGGGCTCGAATAATGGACTTGGGCTCGTAAATCCAAAATTCGGCCAAGTTTAGGAGGTTCTTTAATGAGTTTTTTTAGGAAATTTTACCTCCTATAGCAAAGCTTTACACCCTATTTATTATAAATAAAAATTCTTTTAAAATATTATTTTCTATAACTACCTTTTAATTTTTATAGCAAAATATGTATTTATGGTCAGTTCCTACAGTTAAGCGATTAAATACGCTGTCTAATATTTTTCTCTCTCATTCTTTCAGTTTATTCTCTCCATTGTCCTCCCCATTGTTGAACCACGATTCTCTCATTTGTTTGAAGGTTCTCTCTCTAGATTGTTCTCAAACCCTAGAGTAGATTTTGCGGATGGGTGATGGCGAAAATTTGTTGACAAATTCCTTATAAACGTGTACTGTAACAGCAGCAATATATCAAAACTCCACCTTGATTTCCCCTTCAAACGTTGTTTCTCATCCGATATTACTGTCTGGATCCTTTCCGCCATCATCCATAAAAGTCAAATAACTCAACTTGATTTTATCAAGTGTATTGACAGAGGAGATTTTATCAGTGTACAGTGATTTTGCTGAATTGATTTTGAATGTTGACATGGGAGAGGAAAGAACAGAGGAGACGGTGGCAGCGGCCAATGAGATTAGGATTAGGTTTGGGATTTTTAGTTTGTACAGTGGTTTTCTCTTCTTGTATTTAGATGTATTTGATAAGGCACATATTTATACAGTGGTTTTCTCTTCTTGTATTTAAATGTATTTATATGTATTCGATAAGGCATACACTAATTTTTATTTTGTACAGTGACTTTTTGACTGTTGTATTTAGATGTATTTATATGTATTTGAGTTCATACAATAATATTTTTAAATGCGTTGTTAATTCTATTATTTTGATGTTATTCATCAATTAGTTATGCATTCAATCTAATTGTATTCATATGTATTTTCAACCTAACTGTATCCATCTGTATTTAAAACAACAATACAATGGAATACAATAAAATACTCTCAATACAAATAGAAAATCAATGAATACAACCAATAAAATATACCCAATAAAGCAGTAATACCAAGCATTAGGAATAAATAAAATATTGTGAATAGAAAAATAAAATTGAATACATCGAACAATGTCAGAAAAAAAAATCTTGAATTGTATCAGAAAAAAAAGAGGGACTAAAACTCTGAAGAATGATCTATTGTTTTGTGTTTGGCGTCTCATAACTCTTCTCATTAATTAGATTGATAATGTTGTGTGTTATAATTGATTTAGGTGAGTTATATTAGGAGTGTATCCTGTTAAATTAGTAGCTTTCTATTATTAAACAACTGAAAAGACCTATTATTACGTTGTATTCATGAATACATGGTATGAATACATGTGAATACAACGGCTGACAGCTGGATGCCCTGTTTTTTAGCCGATTTTTGCTACTGTATTCATAAATACAGTAGCTCGAATACGTCGAATACATTACCATATCAACTGGAAGGTAGCTACGGAAAGTAATTATGTATATAGTAGCTATAGAAAATTAATAGGCACTAAACAATAGTCATTTCTGAAAATTCCTCTTTTTTTACGTATATGTACTACATTAGAGACTTATTTACCATCACTGTTTAGGTTTTAACTTAATTACAAGTTGATATATAATTTATCAATTATATACAAATTAGTATTAATGAGTATCTCAATATATTAGGAATTGAATAGAGAATTCCCTCTCCGCTCTCTCTCTCTCTCTTAGATTTCTCTCTCTCTCTCTCTCTCTCTCTCTCTCTCTCTCTCTCTCTCTCTCTCTCTCTCTCTCTCTCTCTCTCTCTCTCTCTCTCTCTCTCTCTCTCTCATTCTCTATCAGTATTCTTGTATTAATATATTCATGTTGATTAATTGAAGAAATGATACTAATGCTAAGTGGGGAAAAAAGAGAGAAGATTAGTACCTAGCAAAGTTCTTGCTTCAGACCCTATGAAAACGAGGAAGTAAATAAGAAAGAAATTAGCTCTGATGAAGAGAATCATTTTAGTTATCATTCTTTTAGCTTTTTGGAATCAATAAATAAAATAGTATTAATTAGAAGCGAGTAGGTTGAATTGGAAACTATGTTAATCCATTAAAAACTCCATTGACAACAAAAGTTTCAAAGCTTTGGATTCAAAAATGGAATTTTATGAAATTATTTTTTGTTTGGATATGGTGTTATTGAAAATATCCGTTTGAGTTTATATCTCAAATTTGAGATAATTTGGTGAAGATTCGAGGTGGTTTTGGTTGAAATTTCATATTGAAACTCGAAAAAGAAGACATGAACAAATTGTATATATTTTGTATATCGAATGTAGAAATGGTATACAAAATATCTACAACTTACATAGTTGTATATAAGTTGTATATAAATTGTATGTAAATTTTGACCGGATTCTATACAAAAAAATGTGTATTTATTTTGTAGATAAATTATAGATTTTGACCGGATTTGTATATATTTTGTAAAAAAACTTTTGTTACTTCCTGTAAATATGAAAACTCAGACAAAACCGGGTAAATAAGTTTAAAATCTTGTATATATATGAAAAAGTCCCATAATTCATAAAGATCTGAAAATTCCTTAGCCCAATTCATTCCCCTATTTCCAAAATAGCATTAAAAATAACTATAATAACAATAACAAAATGAATACTACTACAATAAATGTATTAATGTTAAATATTAACCAATCCTACCCTATATTACACTAAGATATTAAATGAAAACTACTTTCCTTATTTACTTTTTACTTTTTCTATTTTTATGTTCTAACAATTAAAATAAAAGTAGACCACATCCTATTAAAGTAACTCAAGTAAATATATTTTTTTAACAATACTAATTTTTAAAAGATGTGTGGGTCAAAAATTACATGCTTACAATTGCCCCTCTTTAGTTAGTATTTTTGAGCAAAGATTTAAGTAAGCAACGTAATTGATTTCTGACCCGACACCTATTCAAGAGAAAATAAGATGGATAACAAGATTGTGACTGAGCACTGGTATCTGAGCTGCCTACATATCCTTGGCAATAAAGGAATCAGGTCACGTGTAGTTCAGAAGTAGGAAGAATATAGAAGGATATCAAGGTAGAGAGTCGAGTGAGGTGTTGTTGAGGTTCCGGTCCGCAGTTCCTGTTAGTACATCAAAAATAAAATCAAATAAGATAAAAAATACAAGAAAAAAAACAAAATCCTATCTAATCTTCTCTCGGCCTTGTTGTGCATCTCGAACTGTTGAATCGCATTCTTAAGGCGAGCTTCTATTACTTCCAACTTGAATTGAAAATTAAAAAATTGACCTTATTCTTCAGGCGGGCTACTGGTGTTTCTGACTTGAACCTGAAAATTGAAAATTTGACCTTGTTCTTCAGGCGGGCTCTTGCCGCTCGAACTTGAAATAAACTTGAACTCGTAATCCCTCATTTTTTAGGTGGGTCGTCTGCTGCGTTGACGTGAACTTGAAGTTGACTTCTTAAATAACACCCTCGTTCTCTAAGTGGGCGCCTGCTACTAAATTGAAACTTGAAACTCTAAAATGACTACTCTCGTTCTCTAGGTGGGCGCCTGCTACTAACTTGAAACTGAAATAAACTCTGAAATGAATATCCTCGTTCTCCATGTGGGTGCCTGCTACTAATGCTGAAACTTGAAATCAACTCTAGAATGAATACCCTCGTTCTCCAGGTGGGTGCGTGCTACTAAAACTAAAACTTGAAATTAACTCTGAAATGGATACCCTCGTTCTCCAGGTGGACGTCTGCTACTGACTTGAAACTTGAAATAAACTTTGAAATAAATACCCTCATTTTCTAGGTGGGCGCTTGCTAGTGACTTGAAACTTGAAGTCGTTCCCTCATTCTCCAGATGGGTGCCTGCTACTAAAACTAAAACTCGAAATTAACTCTGAATTGAATACCCGTGTTCTCCAGGTGGGCGCATGCTACTGAATTGAAATCATGCTGAAATAAATCCCCTTATTCTCCAGGTGGGTGCCCGACATTCTGAATTGAAATAAATTCTTAAATATTAACCCTCGTTCTCCAATTGGGTGCCTGCAATCACAACGAAAAAGACAAAATAAAGAAAACTTTCAGCCCCAGTTTGTACCAGGAACATTTGTGAGTGTTAGTCGAGTCCCATTATCCAAAAGGGTTCTAAGAATTTTTTTAAAAATTAAATCACATTATCTAGGAGGTTCCTAAAAACTTTTAAAAATCAAATCCCACTATCCAAGAGGGTCATGAAAACTTGAAAATTAAATCCTCTTATCTAGAAGGGTCCTCAAAACTTTTAAAAATTAAATGTAATGAATTAATCGAGATGCACTTAAGTTGATTCGAATACACCTCATGATTTCGGTTTAAATAACTTCTTCCCTACTATTACAATTAGGTTAAATCTTCTTAATTACGGTGGTATTCCCCGTTCTGGTAAAGTTTTTTAAATTTTTTTCATTTTTGTTCGATATTCACTTGGGGTCCGACTAATTAGTATTCGTACTGCATAAGTGTTTACTCGAAAAACGGTACAGTTGAATTTGTTCGTAGTTTCTACACAAGTGAATTAATTTGATCCAAAAAGTAATGAAATAACTTATGAAATATGAAATACTTAGCCTTAGAAAGTAGATGAAACAACAGAGCTAATGAGTCCGGGAACGAGATTTCCGGGCACAACAATGATAAGATTAAAAGCGAGAGAATCAAATTGCATTCAAATGCTGTATAGAATGTAACATAAGCTAGCCAGAAAATTCCTCTCTTTACAATGATAGTTGAGCTCTCT